CTAGTGCAACATTCAAGAAAACCTGAGATGCCTGCAGAAATATTTTAATTCATAAACCGTGAGTTGAACATTGACTGAACATACATGTAGTGTGTAAATCAGCCATACACATTTCCCAGTGTCAGAGTTTACAGATTCGTTAGAATTCAGACTACCGTCAGAGTAATACAGATTCGCTGGATGTGAAATTATTGAATTAATTCTGAACAATGGCTACTGCACTGCTACCATTTCCGTCATTCCCAGTACATGATGAAAGCACCTCCATAGGGCCAAGATGGACAAAATGGGTGAAACGTTTTGAGACATATTTGGTTGCCCAGGGAATTACTGATGATAAGAGAAAGCGTGCCTTACTATTATATTCAGCTGGGGATGAGGTAGCAGATATTTTTGATACCCTACCAGATACTGGTGATGAATTCAAGCAAGCCTTGGAAGCACTGAATAAATACTTTGTACCCAAAGTAAATAAAGCATACAAAGTTTATGTATTCCGAAATGCATCACAGAAACCTGGTGAAACATTAGACAGTTATAACACACGTTTGAGACAACTTGCAAAGACATGCACATTTCATAATGAAGATGAAGAGATCAAGTCACAAATAGTACTATCTACAACATCAGCAAGGCTGAGAAGGAGAGCACTCAGAGAAATTTGTCATTAAAAGACATTCTTGATGCAGGTCGTGCTTTTGAAATATCAGAACGTCAAGCAAAAGGCATAGAGGACACTGATAGGGTAGATCATATTTCTGAAATTAAGCATGTGTCTAAGAAATTTAATAGGAATAGAAAAAAACCATGGCTGAATTCAAAATCAGGAGAGAGCTCAGGTCAAAGTCAGGTCAAAGGTCCAACTAGAAATGATATTAGTAAGTCTTGCTTCAGATGTGGTGGCATATACCCACACAAAGATACTCTATGTCCAGCACGCGGCAAAGCATGCAAAAAGTGTCAGAAAATTTGACATTTTGCAAAAGTATGTAGGAGCAATAATATACAGCGAGCAAAAGCAATTGACGTCCACGAAGATAATTCTACAGATGATGAATATGTATACCACATATCAGTATCCCCAGTCATTGATAAATTTCAACCACATACACAAGTCATGTTAGCAGGACAACCGGTAAAATGTCTCATTGACTCGGGAGCTGGTATTAACATCATAGATGAGCAAACACTGCAACAAATTAAAGGTGTTCAATTACGTCAATCATCAAAGAAAATATACGCTTATAATCCTGTAAAACCACTTCCAGTAATAGGTGAAGCTGAGATGACTGTACAATCACTTGTAACTAACCAACAGTTGACTGAGAATTTCTGTGTAGTTAAAGGCACAGGAGGAAATTTGTTAGGGTGTGAGACAGCAGTGAATCTTGGATTGCTATGCATCGTGAATAATGTACATTCTACAATACCTGTACCCACAGTTGGGAAAATAGTTAATGATTTCATGGATCGTTTTGAGGGCATTGGAAAGATGAAACATGTTAAAGCAAAATTACATATTGATAAATCAGTTAAACCAGTCGCTCAACAGCATCGTCGTGTTCCATTCCACGTTCGAGATAAAGTAGAGAAAGAGTTACAGAAATTGGAAGAGTTAGACATAATAGAAAAGGCCGTAGGTGCAACACCGTGGGTTTCCCCGATTGTTGTTGTGCCAAAGAAAGAAAATATTCGTATTTGTGTTGACATGAGAGCTCCAAATACAGCTATAGAAAGAGAACGTCACCCGATACCGACAATAGAAGATCTGATAGTAGATTTAAATGGTGCTACAGTGTTCACCAAAATAGATTTGAACAAGGGATATCATCAAATAGAACTGGATCCTGATTCAAGACACATAACCACATTTGCCACACATTTAGGTTTATTTCGTTACAAGAGACTAAGTTTTGGCATAAATTCAGCGGCAGAAATATTTCAGAAGGCTGTCTCTGATGCACTGCAAGGAATTCCAGGTGCTAGAAATATATCAGACGACATAATAGTATTCGGCAAGGAACAGACAGATCATGATGACCAATTGAAAGCTGTATTGCAGAGACTAAGAGACAATAACATTACTGCCAACAGAGAGAAATGTGAATTCAGTAAGTCAGAAATCACATTCTATGGGCATACCTTTTCTTCTAAAGGGAGTATCAGCCGACAATAAGAAAGTATCATCACTACTGAAAGTCAGTGAACCACAGGATGTAATGGAAGTCAGAAGTTTTCTTGCATGCACATACATAGCCAGATTCATACCAGACTTCGCATCTATATCAGCACCCATATGAGAGCTTACTCATCAAGATGTACAATATCATGGGGCCCAAGAAAACAAAAATCATTCAGTGCACTGAAAACTGAAATGGCTAGTAAGAAAGTGATGAAATACTTCAACTCAGAGTATAATACAGAGATTACCGTTGATGCCATCCAACAGGATGGGTGCGATTCTAGTGCAGATCACTACAGATGGAAATCGAAACATAGTCGCATATGCAAGTGGCGCAATAACTGATGCTGAGAGTAGATATAGTCAGACAGAGAGGGAGGCACTTGCGATGGTATGGGCAAGTGAACATTTTCACTTATACATTTATGGATCATCCTTTAAAATAATCACAGATCACAGACCATTAGAAGGAATCTTCAATAAACCACAGCGCAAGTCTACAACCAGAATTGAACGTTCGTGTCTACGTATGCAACCATACAAATACAAAGTAATTTGTCGCTCAGGTAAAGAAAACCCGGCATATTATATGAGTCGTCACTCAGATAAGGATATGACAAATTCTGTTGACCATAGTTCACGAATTGACACTTATGTTAACTTCGTTGTTGAGAATTCAATGCCAGATGCATTGACACTTGAATAAGTCCAAAAAGCTACTTCAGAAGATGAGACATTACAAAAGTTGTCACATGTAATACTAACACAACGGTGGCGTGATGTTGATCCTGAAATTGCTCAGTATAGAAAAGTGAAGGACGAACTGTCGTTTGCAAAAGGGGTACTACTGAGAGGATATCGCCTCATAATTCCACACGCATTACAGCAACGTACAGTAAAATTAGCACATAGTGGACATCAAGAAGTAGTGAAGACCAAGAGATTACTCAGAGAAACAATATGATTTCTTGGGATAGACCGTATGGTAGATGAACTGATAGCTAAATGCATTCCATGTCAGGCAGCAAATCATAGTTCAAAGCCAAATAATGAGCCATTGAAAATGACTACACTACCTAGTGGTCCATGGAAGAATGTTTCAATGGATTTCTGTGGTCCATTTCCTAGCGGTGAATATATTCTAGTATTAATTGACGACTACAGTAGATTTCCAGAAATTGCATTCCTTCGATCAACATCAGCACAAGCTGTAATTCCACGTGTAGATGAAATATTTGCACGTCAAAGTATACCTGAAGTGGTGAAGTCTGATAACGGTCCTTCTTTTAATGGACATGATTTTAGCAAATTTGCTAATCACTTGGGATTTCATCACCAGAAAGTGACACCACTGTGGCCAAGAGCAAATGGTGAAGCAGAGAGAGCAATGAGAACTGTTGAAAAGGCAGTGCGTACCGCCGTAATTGAAGGCAAGAATTGGCATAAAGAAATATTCACATTTCTACGTCAATACCGTGCTACACCACACTCCACATCTGACAAATCTCCAGCAGAATTGCTGAATGGAAGAAAACTAAGAACCACACTTCCAGAAATACAGCACCAGCATTACAAAAACAAAGATCTACAATCCAGAGATGCAATGAAGAAACAGATTATGAAAGAGTATGCTGATCAAAGAAATCATGCAAAACCGTCAGACATTCAAATAGGAGATCGTGTACTAATCAAACAAAGAAAACAAAATAAGATGTCTACGCCATTTAAGCCAGAGCCATATCAAGTTGAGCAACAAAAGGGAACAATGATAACTGCTCGTCGCGAAAATCATAAAGTCACACGCAATAGCTCTTATTTCAAGAAACTGAAATTCAGCGAGGGAGTTATTCCAGGTGAAGAGGAGTTAGAAGAGATAGAAGAAAAAGAATTTAATTCTTCAGATGTTGAAAATGTATCATCTACTCCACCGGACATACAACCACAATCAATACGCAAATCAACCAGATTAAGACGTGAACCGGAATACCTCAAAGACTTCATAACATAAACAATAACAATGAGATCATTGACCTGATTGACACCTTTCTTCTCTCAGGGTTTTGAGTTTAAGTATGGAATTTTCTAGTACATGTAGTTACAAAAATGTAGTTAGTTATATTGTTAATGTTTAATGGTACATTCTCAAGGTTTCAAGTTCAAGTTCAAGTATGGAATTTTCTAGTAGTTAGTTGGTTATATCGTTAATGTTTAACATTGTTGAATGTATGCTTCATCGTTACTACTGCAATGAATATTTGTGAGATACCTATGTTTATGAACTTGTATTATAACCTCTGCAAGGCAAGTTAAAGGCTACCATATAGATTATACCAGAACTACACCAACTCTGCAATATGATTTATTCATTAACATTCATAGACTGAATATCTAAAGAGGAGATGGATGTAATGTCCACTATACTAGTACACATTTATATTCATGTAATTTTTATTTGTAAAGTGCGCCCTCACAGGCAATGTGTAAGACAGTGTTTACAATATGGCTGCCATGTTCATGCAGTGAATAAATGAAGCTCAAGTTTGTGTTCCCACCATTGTATTAATTTCTGCCTCACGATCTTACTACATGGGGCTGAGGATGAACATGATCTAGTGCAACATTCAAGAAAACCTGAGATGCGAGCAGAAATATTTTAATTCATAAGTCGTGAGTTGAACATTGACTGAACATACATGTAGTGTGTAAATCAGCCATACACATTTCCCAGTGTCAGAGTTTACAGATTCGTTAGAATTCAGACTACCGTCAGAGTAATACAGATTCGCTGGATGTGAAATTATTGAATTAATTCTGAACAATGGCTACTGCACTGCTACCATTTCCGTCATTCCCAGTACATGATGAAAGCACCTCCATAGGGCCAAGATGGACAAAATGGGTGAAGCGTTTTGAGACATATTTGGTTGCCCAGGGAATTACTGATGATAAGAGAAAGCGTGCCTTACTATTATATTCAGCTGGGGGTGAGGTAGCAGATATTTTTGATACCCTACCAGATACTGGTGATGAATTCAAGCAAGCCTTGGAAGCACTGAATAAATACTTTGTACCCAAAGTAAATAAAGCATACGAAGTTTATGTATTCCGAAATGCATCACAGAAACCTGGTGAAACATTAGACAGTTATAACGCACGTTTGAGACAACTTGCAAAGACATGCACATTTCATAATGAAGATGAAGAGATCAAGTCACAAATAGTACTATCTACAACATCAGCAAGGCTGAGAAGGAGAGCACTCAGAGAAAATGTGTCATTAAAAGACATTCTTGATGCAGGTCGTGCTTTTGAAATATCAGAACGTCAAGCAAAAGGCATAGAGGACACTGATAGGGTAGATCATATTTCTGAAATTAAGCATGTGTCTAAGAAATTTAATAGGAATAGAAAAAAAACATGGCTGAATTCAAAATCAGGAGAGAGGTCAGATCAAAGGTCCAACTAGAAATGATATTAGTAAGTCTTGCTTCAGATGTGGTGGCATATACCCACACAAAGATACTCCATGTCCAGCATACGGCAAAGCATGCAAAAAGTGTCAGAAAATTGGACATTTTGCAAAAGTATGTAGGAGCAATAATATACAGCGAGCAAAAGCAATTGACATCCACGAAGATAATTCTACAGATGATGAATATGTATACCACATATCAGTATCCCCAGTCATTGATAAATTTCAACCACATACACAAGTCATGTTAGCAGGACAACCGGTAAAATGTCTCATTGACTCGGGAGCTGGTATTAACATCATAGATGAGCAAACACTGCAACAAATTAAAGGTGTTCAATTACTTCAATCATCAAAGAAAATATACGCTTATAATGCTGTAAAACCACTTCCAGTAATAGGTGAAGCTGAGATGACTGTACAATCACTTGTAACTAACCAACAGTTGACTGAGAATTTCTGTGTAGTTAAAAGCACAGGAGGAAATTTGTTAGGGTGTGAAACAGCAGTGAATCTTGGATTGCTACGCATCATGAATAATGTACATTCTACAATAATTGTACCCACAGTTGGGAAAATAGTTAATGATTTCATGAATCGTTTAGAGGGCATTGGAAAGATGAAACATGTTAAAGCAAAATTACATATTGATAAATCAGTTAAACCAGTCGCTCAACAGCATCGTCGTGTTCCATTCCACGTTCGAGATAAAGTAGAGAAAGAGTTACAGAAATTGGAAGAGTTAGACATAATAGAAAAGGCCGTAGGTGCAACACCGTGGGTTTCCCCGATTGTTGTTGTGCCAAAGAAAGAAAATATTCGTATTTGTGTTGACATGAGAGCTCCAAATACAGCTATAGAAAGAGAACGTCACCCGATACCGACAATAGAAGATCTGATAGTAGATTTAAATGGTGCTACAGTGTTCACCAAAATAGATTTGAACAAGGGATATCATCAAATAGAACTGGATCCTGATTCAAGACACATAACCACATTTGCCACACATTTAGGTTTATTTTGTTACAAGAGACTAAGTTTTGGCATAAATTCAGCGGCAGAAATATTTCAGAAGGCTGTCTCTGATGCACTGCAAGGAATTCCAGGTGCTAGAAATATATCAGACGACATAATAGTATTCGGCAAGGAACAGACAGATCATGATGACCAATTGAAAGCTGTATTGCAGAGACTAAGAGACAATAATATTACTGCCAACAGAGAGAAATGTGAATTAAGTAAGTCAGAAATCACATTCTATGGGCATACCTTTTCTGCTAAGGGAGTATCAGCTGACAATAAGAAAGTATCATCACTACTGAAGGTCAGTGAACCACAGGATGTAATGGAAGTCAGAAGTTTTCTTGGCATGGCACAATACATAGCCAGATTCTCACCAGACTTCGCATCTATATCAGCACCCATACGAGAGCTTACTCATCAAGATATACCATGGTCATGGGGCCCAAGACAACAAAAGTCATTCAGTGCACTAAAAACTGAAATGGCTAGTAAGAAAGTGATGAATACTTCAACCCAGAGTATATACAGAGATTATCGTTGATGCCAGCCCACAGATTGGGTGCGATTCTAGTGCAGATCACTACAGATGGAAATCAGAACATAGTCGCATATGCAAGTCGCGCACTAACTGATGCTGAGAGTAGATATAGCCAGACAGAGAGAGAGGCACTTGCGATGGTATGGGCAAGTGAACATTTTCACTTATACATTTATGGATCATCCTTTAAAATAATCACAGATCACAAACCATTAGAAGGAATCTTCAATAAACCACAGCGCAAGTCTACAGCCAGAATTGAACGTCTGTGTCTACGTATGCAACCATACAAATACAAAGTAATATATCGCCCAGGTAAAGAAAACCCGGCAGATTATATGAGTCGTCACTCAGATAAGGATATGACAAATTCTGTTGACCATAGTTCACGAATTGACACTTATGTTAACTTCATTGTTGAGAATTCAATGCCAGACGCATTGACACTTGAAGAAGTCCAGAAAGCTACTTCAGAAGATGAGACATTACAAAAGTTGTCACATGTAATACTAACACAACGGTGGCATGATGTTGATCCTGAAATTGCTCAGTATAGAAAAGTGAAGGACGAACTGTCGATTGCAAAAGGGGTACTACTGAGAGGATACCGCCTCATAATTCCACACGCATTACAGCAACGTACAGTAAAATTAGCACATAATGGACATCAAGGAGTAGTGAAGACCAAGAGATTACTCAGAGAAACATTATGGTTTCCTGGGATAGACCGTATGGTAGATGAACTGATAGCTAAATGCATTCCATGTCAGGCAGCAAATCATAGTTCAAAGCCAAATAATGAGCCATTGAAAATGACTACACTACCTAGTGGTCCATGGAAGAATGTTTCAATGGATTTCTGTGGTCCATTTCCTAGCGGTGAATATATTCTAGTATTAATTGACGACTACAGTAGATTTCCAGAAATTGCATTCCTTCGATCAACATCAGCACAAGCTGTAATTCCACGTGTAGATGAAATATTTGCACGTCAAGGTATACCTGAAGTGGTGAAGTCTGATAACGGTCCACCATTTAATGGACATGATTTCAGCAAATTTGCTAATCACTTGGGATTTCATCACCAGAAAGTGACACCACTGTGGCCAAGAGCAAATGGTGAAGCAGAGAGAGCAATGAGAACTGTTGAAAAGGCAGTGCGTACCGCCGTAATTGAAGGCAAGAATTGGCATAAAGAAATATTCAAATTTCTACGTCAATACCGTGCTACACCACACTCCACAACTGACAAATCTCCAGCAGAATTGCTGAATGGAAGAAAACTAAGAACCACACTTCCAGAAATACAGCACCAGCATTACAAAAACAAAGATCTACAATCCAGAGATGCAATGAAGAAACAGATTATGAAAGAGTATGCTGATCAAAGAAATCATGCAAAACCGTCAGACGAATGAATAGGAGATCGTGTACTAATCAAACAAAGAAAACAAAATAAGATGTCTACGCCATTTAAGCCAGAGCCATATCAAGTTGAGCAACAGAAGGGAACAATGATAACTGCTCGTCGCGGAAATCATAAAGTCACACGCAATAGCTCTTATTTCAAGAAACTGAAATTCAGTGAGGGAGTTATTCCAGGTGAAGAGGAGTTAGAAGAGATAGAAGAAAAAGAATTTAATTCTTCAGATGTTGAAAATGTACCATCTACTCCACCGGACATACAACCACAAATCAATACGCAAATCAACCAGATTAAGACGTGAACCGGAATACCTCAAAGACTTCATGACATAAACAATAACAATGAGATCATTGACCTGATTGACACCTTTCTTCTCTCATGGTTTTGAGTTTAAGTATGGAATTTTCTAGTACATGTAGTTAGTTACAAAAATGTTGTTAGTTATATTGTTAATGTTTAATGGTACATTCTCAGGGTTTCAAGTTCAAGTTCAAGTATGGAATTTTCTAGTAGTTAGTTGGTTATTTCGTTAATGTTTAACATCGTTGAATTTATGCTTCATCGTTACTACTGCAATGAATATTTGTGAGATACCTATGTTTATGACTTATATTATAACCTCTA